AAACGAAGAAAAAAGATAACATTAATCATTATCAAATCATTTTTATTATAATAATAAAACAAATATTTACTTAGGTTAATACTTTCAATTTAATTTCAAATTTAACAAAAATTAACTCATTTGATACCTAAGCCATATCAGTTATCAAATGGATAAGGATAAATATCATTGAAGCTAATATTTTCTTGTAAATTTGCATAAATATTTGCACGATGTAATATGTATGAAACATTTTAAGATAGATATTAAGATAATTTTAATTTTATTATCAAAATTATCAACATTTTTCATATCCGTTTTAGAAACGATCATTTGAAAAAAATTATGCTCTTTTAAAAATTTATTTTTTAATTGATAATGTTCTTTGATGTTTAACATATACTTCTAATATTATCATTAATGGAAATTATCATTGTTTTGTTATCACTGATGATACACATGTATATATATATATAAATATTATTTACACTATGTGTAATTCTTTCTTATTTGTTTTAAAATTTAATTTCAAATACAATTTTTGTTTTTTTTTCTTTTCGTTAGCTAATCAATTATTTATGAATGTAAAAGGTGCTATTATAAGTTTTATTACTTCTTTCTTTTAATTACTATCATTACTTTTTTTTCTTCTCTCTCTCTCTTCTTTTCTCCCGTTCTTTCTTTTTTTTTTTTTTTTAAATAAATGACATCAGAAAAATAACGATCCAGTTATTACTCCTGCAAAAAAACAAAACAAGTCTATGGCTTATTTGTTCGTTAAAAAAAAAAAGAAAAAAAAAGAAAAGGAGAGAGAGAGAGAGAGAGAGACAAGTCTATGGCCAATTATCAGATATCCTTCAATGCTCTTTCACTTTTTACCAAGCCCGATAAATTGGCAATAGTTTAGAAAAAGGGTCGATTTTTTTTCCCGATGAATTTTACTTTGCCAGTATAAAGCATGCAACAATCTTATCCATCTTTCTTCAATGTTTTCATTTTAGTTTAATTTTAAACGATTTGAAAAATTAAAAAATTCCTTATTTATTTGATCAAATATGATTTAAATTCAATTTCTTTAAACAGTTAAACAGTTAAAATTTTTAGATGCTATAATTAATTAGCATTATTTATGATAATTCTTAAAATTATACTTTTATTTTAGGCCTTCAATTGCTAAACGGGTCAAAGGGCAATGGTCGAACCTCCCACGCCCGATTTATCACATTTAAGTGCTGAGGAACGTCAAATTATTGAAGAAGTACTTCAACGACAGCGTGCTGAAGAAGAAAAAGAAACTCAACTTAGCCAGTAAGTTCCTTTTTTTTTCTTTATATATTTTTTGGATATATATATATGTAGAAGTTAGATTTGTACAAATAATTATCATTATTAATGATAAATGTTGTTAAATATCAATAATTATTTTAATTTCCAATTTATTTCTAATACTTCCAATATAGAATCAAATGCATTACTTGTATAATGAATAATCTCGAATTCTAACTAGAAGTATTGGTTGTTGTCGTTTATTGATGACAGATGACAAGGACTGAAAACGATTGCTTTTATGATTTTATTTTTAGACCACAACAAAATTTCATCTTCTTCATTTTCATCCACCATATCAATTTCTTCCATTTCAAATTACCATTATATTGTTATTAAATTATCAAATTATTTGCTAATCATTGTGAAAGAAATAAAAATTTAGAATGTTAAACATTCTATTTCACCTTTGCCATATAAAGTTAGAAGATAGAAAGATCGAAAATTTGTGCTTTTCTCAATTAATCAAAATTGCTAATTAGTTATTTAATCATTTAATTACTTTGTAGATGATTCATAAATGTGAAAATATTATAAAATCTTTAAATGACTATTTAATAACTGATATTTAATTTCGAAGAACAATTTTTTCGTTGTTATGAAAACCAGGAAGAGAGAGAGAGAGAACGAAGGAGAGAGGAAAGGGAATTTGATTAAATACGTGAAAGCATTAATTTTAAGACAAAAAATTATTGAACAAATTTGAATAACTTTTGAACAATGGTTTAATCACTAATTTTTTAATTACTAGTTAAATCACTAAATTACTAACTTTTATAAGTACTAGCTTTTTTTTTTGATCGGTTTAACAAAGAGACATAAATAATGAAAATTTAATTAGTATTTAAATGTAACAATAGAAACAAAAGAAAATATTATCAATTTATTTTACAGGAAAGCTGATCAAGAATTAGAAGCTATCGAAAAGCAAATTAATCAACGAAAAGAGATCGCACAACGTCTTGTTGGGACACAAGATGATGCCATTTGTCAAATTTGTCAAAAAACTAAATTTGCAGATGGTATTGGTCATAAATGTTTTTATTGCCAATTACGATCATGTGCTCGATGTGGTGGACGTACAGCAAGTAGAAATAAAGTTAGCACAAATCTTTTCCTTGATATAATATATCTTTCAATTTTTAAACGAATTATTAAATATTTCCTTCAATTTTTCATACTGTACTAAATACTTCTTTTAATTAGTATATGTTTATTTATTTGCTTTATTTATTTATTTATTTTATTTACTTATTTATTTATTTATTTGTTTATTTATTTATTTATTTATTTATTTATTTCTATTAACACATATATTTATTCATTTATTTAATTTATTTTTACAAGAGATTACCTATTTTATTGATTAAATTAGGTAAAAAGTTAACAAAACCATTGATATTTTTAAAATTTGAATTTCTATAATTTAAATCACCATAATTCCAGTTTTAAAATTTTCAAATTTTATCAGCTACTAATTAAATATAGTTATTTGTAATTAAAATTAATGATATACAAGTTGACTTTCAAAGTGTAGCAAATGTTTTACAAAAAAGAAAAAAACCCATTTTCAACTAATTAAGTTTCCTTTTTAATTAGGAATTTTTCATTTATTTGGAAATGGCAATGTCCTAAGGATAATTGAATTTGTCAAATGTTACATTCATAGCAGCAAAAAATGGCTTATAGTAGTAATTTGATTATTTTTGATAATTTATTTTTCATTTTCAAATCGCTTATTTTTTAAAATTTTTTTATTGCCAATTATTGAAAAAAGATAGTTTGTTTGAGGTAATTTTTGTTCATTTAATTAACATAACTAATCGAATAACTAAACAGAAATATTTGCAAAAATTTATCCCATATAGAGAAAAATAATATTTAAAAAAATATTTTCTATAAGCTATTAAAAAATGTTTGAAAATTTAATAAAAAAAATAGAAGAAAATTAATTTAAATTTCAGATTTCAAATTTTAAACATTCATTATAAAACAATTGCGCCAATTCTATCATTTTGAATGATTTTTTTTTCCTCCTTTTTTAATATTTTCTATAAGCAATAAAATTTAAATTATTTAACAAAAAAAATTTTTTTTTTCAAGAAAGAATACATACTAGCAGGAAGTCTTTTAAATTTTAATTTTTTTAATTTTTGACCTTTTTTTTTTTTGAAGCCAATTTGGGCATGCTCTTTATGTCAACAGAGGCAACGAATTCTTGCAAAAACTGGCAAATGGTTTCAACAAGCTGCAATAGCTGATGAAACAAAAGGAACGGCTAGTCCGGGAGATATCAGGTTAGCTACTTTTGATAACAACAGCTAGTTGTTTAATAAACTAATTAAAATGATATCACTCAGTTGCTTAATAAACTAATTAATATGATGTTACTCATTATCAAATAATCAATTTTTCTCTTGACAAAAATATAATTTAATCATTTTCGCGATTAAATATTAAAAAAAAAAAAAATCCCATAAAACAACTCGATGTAAAATTTGTCTGATATATCGAGAAGTCTCAAAAAGTTACCGGGGTAAAAAATTAACTTGTACAGTGATACTCTTACAATTCATTTTATTCGATACGGATAAAATTGATAACAAATGATACTGTTACTACTGAATTCTGTTACAATCCATTGCTAAAACATTTATTTCTTTTTTTTTTCACGTAATCATACTTCTTTCATACTTCTTTTTAAAGATTACAATTGGTTGATTGAAATATTATAGCTTTAATCATTTTGCTTAAATTATTTTTAATTTAATCAAATCATTGAACGGAATCTTTTTTTCTTTTTTTGAAAAAAAAAGCTAAAATGAATTTTGCTATTTAAAATTCTTTTCAATTTCTATGTATACAATACAATTGAAAACTTTTATATATCAATTGTGATAAGGATTATAATTATATTCATATTCAGATCATTTCATCTAGAATATAACAATATTCATCAACTACTACTACTTTCTAAATCTAAACAACAGTCATTGTAGCATAAAGAGACTTCTTTCCATTTTTAGATAGATCTATTTTTTATTTTCTTCATTAACAAGCAAAAATCAATTCTTTAATTCGTCTGATGTATCATATTTTTAATCATTTTATTAAATCTTCCATATTTTTTTCCACAATGATAAGGAACAATTGATAAAATGATAAAGTGATAGAGAAAGGTTATAGACGACGGGGAAAGAGGAGGGGGAATTGTTGGAAGAAAAAAAGGAACAAATTATAAATTATTTTTATTTTCTATAAATTTAATCCATTAATTAATATAAGTAAGTTTTCGTCAAATATTACAAATAAATGTGGAAAAGGGAATGTTTAATATTTAAATATAAATGCAATGAATGAATTTGTACAGCGAATAAATTCCATTTTTATATTTATAAATATTTAATGAAATGATTAAAGTCCAACATATTCGGCACCTCGAACACCAGTACCATCAACAAGTCGTAAGAGTAGTGTGGTAAGTCCAACAACACGAACTAATGGTCCATATTCGGCAGCTGTTGCTTCCGGATCAAGCATACAAACATCAACAATACCTACTATTCCTTCTTCTGATACTAAACAATCCATTCCGGTACAACAGGAACGAATACAAACAATGCGTAAACCAGTAAATTCATCCATTAAACGACAAACGACACTTTTACGACAACCATCTCTTAAGGTAATTTTTCATTTTTTATTTTCTTCCATTCTTTAATTATCAATTTTGTTTCACTATTAGATTATTTCCTACAAAAAAAAATCTGCGTAAAAAAAAAGGTGAAATGATAATGAAATTTGTAAAAATAATTAATTAATCCTTTTGCTATATTAATTTATGCTTTAGACGGAACGTCGAAATGGTATAACCGGATCTGCAACAGATCATATACATGATAACTCGAAACAACATAATGATGATGATGATGAATATTCAGCGGATAGATCGATAATTGTTGAAAATTGCGAGCAAATTATATCATCAGATTATAAATTATCACCAGAAATTAAACCATCAAATGCTGAATGTAATTATACAAAAATTAGGACTAAAAGTCCTGAAAAACTACGGCAGCAATCTAGTAAATCATTTGATGATCAAAATCGAAGGTATCTTTTTATTCATTCATTTCAATTTTTAATTTAATCAAATTATTTGCTGCAATTATTCAATTTTATTTTCCATTTATTTTAAACTAATTCTAAGCTAGAAAAGTTACACAAATTGTTTCACAACATTGTAGAATTCATAGAATTCATGTTATAAACGTATAAATAGTGGATAAGTTGAGAGAAAAAAAAAGCCATTATCGATTTCAAAAAATTACTTTAATTATTGTTAAAAAAATCTATGAAAAGAATGAAATGCTATCATTTCATGTTAATAAATATGATAAGTAATCATAACAGTTACATCTATTAATATTTATTTATTTTTATCGATTGATTAAAAATTGGAAATGAAAAAAAAATTTTTAATTGAAAAAAATTTCTTTTTTTTTTCGGTTGGAAAAATTGGAAACAAAAAAAGAATTTTAATTCGTTAAAAATTTTTTTTTTTTTTTTAAAGAAATTCATTGATTAATATAACATTTAATAGTTATATCACTTACATTCTCTGTAAATATTTTCCATTTCAAACTCTTTTAGTGAAATTGGAAAAAAAATTTTAAGGTATCAATCTCAACCGGATGTTACAATTCGTAACGAACGGCAACAAAAGAATATAGATAGTGGTATAGAACCGGAAAAGTATGTATTTATTATCATTCTATTCCTCTTCTTCCTTTTCCTCATATTCGAAAATATTCATCCTATAATCGAGAATTTGCATGCGTGTATGTATGTGTGTATGTGTGTGTGTATGTGTGTGTGTATGTGTGTGTGTATGTGTGTGTGTGTGTGTGTATATGTGTTTCAAAGGTTAAATCTGGTACCAATTTTGAAAAGTACTATGAAAACAAGCATCATTAATGTGATAATATCTACGAAAAATTAACAAGTATTAAATAGTTAAATGTCATTTATCAAGTTATCAATTTATGTGTCATTTATCAATAATGACATTGATAAGTTGTAATAATTTTTAGTTACAAAAATTATTGATAAATGGAAGATTTATTAAATTAGGATGGAATTATGATTTCTTTCTTCTTATATTTTTATAATAAGCCAATGCAATTAGAATTACGTGAAATTCGTTCGGTGATCAGACGTATGTAAATAAATTTGACTTAAATGCTATAATTATACATTTATCGTCCTATCATTTAAATATTTCGAAATATTTTGTTACCTTAAATGAATTATTTCTTGTCACACTTATTCAATGAATAAAATTATGTTGACATTTGAGAATTGTTTTCGACAAATTAACTTTCTTTCCTTCCATATTTTAAATTTAATAATACCATATAATATTCTATTTGTTTTAACGTTTTCGTTTAAGTTACATTTTACAATTTCGTTATATTATTTCATTATAATTGTTGTCAAATTTTTTTCATACAAATATGATTGCAATGATCGAAAAAATAATGAATTTCATAATTACTTTGAATTTTAGAATATTCAATTCCCAATAAATTCTCATCTTTTTTAGTTTAATTTTTAATCATTCAAAATTAATTTTTTGTTAAAATTTTTTTTTTCATCCATTTTATACGTGTTTGTTTTTTGTTTTTCATTATTTTTTGAATGGAAAAAATGAAATTGGAATTTATTTTGAGTATAATTTTCTAATACCAAAATTGGAAATAGCAATGTGAATGAAATTTTGTGAGAATATTTTTCATTTAAATGAAAATGGCAGTCATTGAATCAATTATATGAAGCTATTATAAAAAGAAAATAAATCGAGAAATGATAATCGAATTTCAATTATAAATTTATAACATTCACAAATAGCAATTATTTCAATGAAATTTTTCATACGACAATCCGATTGGATTACATTCCGTTTATTGTCATTTTTACATTATCCATTTATCCTGAATAATTCCTTGTTTTTATTTTTCTTTTCCCTTTCTTTTTTCGTTATTTTTTTTTTTACATCATGAAATTTCTATTATATATATCAATGCTATATACTTATTAAACTAGCATATTTTCATTTTTAACAAATTATTTTATTCCCTGTAATACTACTATTACTACTATTGCTATTGATAACTACTACTATTACTAAAACTGATAATAGAAATATTGGTAATGAAAGAATTGATATTAAAATGAATGTATTAAAACAAAATTTAAATTTCTGAAAATTACTCTATTTTTGCAATTCTTTTTCCCATAATTCATTTCCATTCATCATTTTTTCGATAGTAAATTTAGTTTTAAAATTATTTATAACCTAATTGAATTATTATTTTTAAGCATACAATGTTATTAGCATACAGTGTTATACTTCGATTACAGTAGCAATATGGTATAATGAGAAAATGATGTCACCAGATGTCATCATTTTATCATTGCAATCCTACGATTGCTAATAATTTATTATCCATAGATCATTTGGTAGAAATTTAATTAGCGAATGGAACAAATCGTCTGATCATTATGTGTTAGCTAAAGTTATTGGCATTATCTATATGATTTACCTGTAATATTCCTAGGTTAATTATACTTTAAATCATAGCTACTCTCACAAAACAATTTAAATGGTTGCATTTACATGAGGTATTGATAAATATTTGGTGTCAGAAATTTTGTCATTTATTTAAATATGACATCAAATTTGATCTAACAAATGGTTTTATCCTAAAATGACGATTTGTTGAAAATTTGATTCAATTAAACATAATTAATTAAATCACTCAACAAAATATTCAAATAAAAAACATTTGCTGAATTAGATTTTATGCAAAATTTCTCCAATATACTATTATATCATGTAATTAATTAATTATTTTTCATGTTAATATTTAAGCAATGAAGATGTTTAGTATGGGAATATTTGAAAAATACAAAAATATTTTTGTGTACTGTTTGTTTCAGGAATACATGCTCGACTGTTGTTGTTAATGTAAGTTCGGGTGGTGGCGCAGAATTACGACGTTCACGTATCATCCGTGAAAGTGATCTCAAACGAATACCTGCTACTACACCTGCTATAACTGAGGTATGTTAATTATATTTGATGATAAAATGAAATAAGAAATAATGTACATTGATAAGATTTGCATAAACGTTTGGAATGAATAAATTTTATGTGAAAATTTGAAATATTCATGTGAAATTTAATTTTAGCAACAAGTTTATCCGTTACCACCGGCAACAAGTAATGTATTTTCCGTGGGAAGGCGAAAAATAAGACTTCCAAGGTTGGAATTATTTATTCATTACTTAGTGATTCATATTCTGCTTACTTACTTCAAAATGCTAAACTGAACTCGATGAAATATATGTAATTTCAAATTTTCAATAAAAAATTAAAATTAAAAATTAGAAAATTTTAAACAAATTCATTACGATATATGATTAAAAACACTAATGTCGAAGTGTCACTGGCGATAGTCATGAAGTTTCAGCGGAATCAATTAGAATGACAAATGTTGTTCCCAAAATGTTTTAGCTTTGACATTTGACTATCAATTGGTAGTTGACAAATTAAACAGCAATTATTATGATAATTCCTTGAAAAGTTATTTCTGTGGTGCTAAATTTACTTAGTATTTATGATTGATGAAATATATGTGTCATAAATATGTTTTCTGTTGATTCAATCATTTCAATTTTATGCAATTTTAAGTATTACTTTTTAATAAATTTAATTTTTTAAAATAAAAAAAATTACTTGAAGTAAGAAAGTTAATCATTTAATTTGCAGACAACTTCATTCGATGTCTTCATCAGAAGATGAATTACCATCAACATCAAATGGTAATAATGACGAAGTAATAGCACGAATTGATACTGAAATTAGTTCTGAAAAAGGTTTTTATTTTTATCATTATGCAAAAATTAAACAAATACTTCTTATCAAATAATTGTTAAATTTTTATAAGTAATAATAATTTTAATATTATTATATTGTAGTGATAATGAAAAATTATCATTTACAGATATCCTAAGGTATATTTATGGTCCACAAAAAGTACGAAGTGGACATAAATGTTAGTTTAATTTTAATTAACATATCCTTTCAGATTATTCATTATTCCAGTTCTATAGTACATACTATTCCTAAAGTTATTATTTTCCTTTTTTCCTACCTTTTTTTTTAACATTTTTTTCATCTTTATGAACAGTTATTAGTAATATTGATCAATTTTTTTCTATAATTAATAACTTTTAAATAATTTACAAGTTCAAATAATTGATAAACTGATAATTTACAACTTTTAAATAATTCATAGCTTTAGATAATTGATAAACTGATAATTTATAACTTTTTTATGTGGATACATTAAATTTTGCAGCGAATCCTTTATTGATTAAATACTAGGATAAATTATCAAACGCCTAATAGATGCGATATATCGAGTGATCATTATGAGTGTCGTCAAATAATTCAAGAAACTTGAAAGTTCATATTATTTATCTATCAAGAAAATACATCTTAAAAAATTAAACTGAATTACATAGGTTAATATATCATTAAAAATTTTCATTCAAATGATCGATCATATTGAATAATTGATTAATATTATTTTTATGAGACAGCAATGATAAATATTTTTAGAAAAATTTTAAATTAAATTCAAAAATCATTAAACTTTTTCCCTTTTATTAAAAGGTATGGAAAAAAAGAAAAAGATTGTTGCTATTTTGCAAAATTATCATTCATTTACAATTAAATAATTAAATAAAACAATGATTTGATGAGAGTTAAATTGCAATTGGCATATTCATGTTCATTTATTTCACATCATTAAAAAGCTTTTATTTTAGAATGAACGAATTCAGAAGATGAAAGCTTTTTCTTTTTTTTTCCAATCTATATGATGTTATTGTTCCATTACAACGTTTTGATCATTTTTGCTAATTTCAATTTGTGAATATCTACGAGGTGTTAATATTGTCCCATTTCATCTTTCCTCATCATTCATTTACTATTTTTCATCTATTTCCTCCTTCA